CTCCCCTTGCTGGCGCTGGCACCCTCCTTACTACTCTTCACCTTCCTTCCCGGATGCTGTCCTTCTTTCTGAGCCCTTTGGTCCACTCCAGGATTAACTGAGCCCCCTTTTGTATTCACACTTCCCAACGGGACTGATTTTTACAAATTAATATACAACAAACACGTAAGTTGAAGTACACAATACGATATGTCAACCTAGATAATAATCAACAGGGTATTCCTGGGCCGGGCTGTGGCTCAGTGGTAGAACACATGCAAGGTACTGGGTTCAATCCTCACATAAAAATAAATAAAATAAGGTACAACTAAAAAAAAAAAAAAAAAAAAGCAAAGGAAAAAAGAAAGATATTCCTTAAAGAACATGGGTACTTTAGTGACAGAATAGCCACCCAGTAGGAACATGCCTGCGCCTGCCATATAAACTGAGCACAGCCAAGAGCAGAGGCACAGGGGCTCTGAGGRTGAACTGAGGGCTGCATAAGCAGTTTTGAAACAGTCCTCCCTGTGGCGAGGATTCACACAGGGGGGTGGGCGCCTGCTTTCTCTCTTTCCCTTTCTTTCTGCACTTAACTGCTGAGCCACCTCCCCAGCCTTATTTATTGTTGTGACAGGGTCTCTTCAAGCTGCTAAAGCTGGTCTTTAATTTTTTTTTAATAAATATTTTTACTTGTAGTTGGACACAAGACCTTTATTTTATTTATCTTTATGTGGTGCTGAGGATCAAACCCAGTGCCTCACACATGCTAGGCAAGTGCTTCCCCACYGAGCCCCCGCCTCAACCTTGAACTCTTGATCCTCAGGCCTCAGTCTCGCCAGATGCTGGGACTTTAGTCCTGTGCCAAGGCTCCTCCCTCCCTCTCTCTCTCTCTTCCTGCAGGGGATGGAACCCAGCCCTGTGCACTCTCAGCAGGCGCTTTACCACTGAGGTTCACGCACCCCTAGGCGAAGGCTGAACAGACAGCTGCCAAGCAGACGTCTGTTTGAGGCTTCCTAGGTAAGCTCCTGTGGGGGTTACCATGAGGCAGTGCATGTGAGAGAACCTCCCCTTCCTGAGACTTGCAGTACCACTTCCAGCCGCCTGGCTCCTTCCCTCGGTGGTGCTTAGCATTCACACACCGGGACCATATCCACTCTCATGACTTCTAAGGAACACTAATGACCCTAGATCATTACCTTGAACCCAAAGCCCACCTCATATTCAATACCTTATAGGAGGCACCCTTGACCTTCTTACGCTGGTCTATACTCAGGACTGCTTGCAGTTAAGTCAGATCATGTCGTTGGCTCAAAATTTTCTGATGAGTTCTTATCTCAGATTAAAAAAAAAAACAGAGTCCTTCGAATGGGCAGAAGATCCAACATGATCTGATATTCCAGAACTCTACCACTGAGCTACTTCCCTGGCCCTTTTTTAGATGCATCTCACTAAGTTGCCCAGAGTGGCTTGGCTCCGCCTCCTGAGTAGCTGATCTATAGATGTGCACCACAATGCCCAGCCCATTGCCTTTTTAATGTTTCAATCAGTTGAACTTTTAAAAAAATATTTTTAGTTGTAGATGGTCACAACACCTTTATTTTATTTCTTGGGGTATCAGAGATCGAACTCAGGAGCCACTAAGCCACATCCCCAGCCCTGTTTTGTATTTTATTTAGAGACAGGGTCTCACTGAGTTAGTGCCTTGCCTTTGCTGAGGCTGGCATTGAACTTGCAATCCTCCTGCCTCAGCCTCCTGAGCTGCTGGGATTACAGGCATGTGCCACCACGCCCAGCTTATTTATTTTTATGTGGTGGTGAGGAATGAACCCAGTGCCTTATAAATGCTAGGCAAATACTCTACCACAGAGCTACAACCCCAGCCACTCAGTCGAGCTTTTATACTGTCAGACCACAGTGAAATATTAGAGTTTTATGTAACCCAGTAGAGTAAGATCATGTCAGATAATGTTTTCAGCCTTACATTACTGGGGACTCATAGCATTTTCTCTCTTCATTTGCAATGTTGCCTCTGAAAACTTATTTGAGCTCAGTAATCAGATTTAAATGTACCTATATTATACGATGTTGTGTAATGTATTATTTTCTGTTCACCAAAGTGGACAGAAAATCTCCTTTTGACAACTCCCTTTGTGGGAAACCAGTTACTAATTAGCAAGTCTGCATGAGTCAGTATCTTTGTGAAATATATTGCATCCAAGTTCTTTCATGGCATATCGATAGTTGGTTAATTTGGGAATACTCTTCTAGAAACATTGAGTATAATTGAGTGGAAACATCACTCACTAAATGTCACATGTTTTTGCTGGGCAGAAGAGAGCACATTTATTCAAGAAAATTTAGTTACTTATTTCTTACTGCACTGTGACCCAAACACTCATTTTGCTTATAATTTGTCAAAATAACATCACCTGTGTCAAAAAGACAAAATTAAATTTAAAGATCTTAATTTGTGTGTGTGTGTGTGTGAGAGAGAGAGATTCTAGAATCGAACAATACTTTATTCCGTGAACTACAATGAGCATTCTGATGGGGGGGAGCAGAGCAGGCCAGTTCTATGGACTGAAAAGGCTGAAGCAAACAGAAACAAAAAGAACTGGCCAGGGAGACAGAACAACGGAAAAATAACCAACTGCTCAGCACCAAACTACTTTAGTGCTGGGAAGGGACCCAGGGCCTCAGGCATGCTGGGCAAGTGCTCTGCCACCAAACTTTTGAAAGTTTATATTTTGAGCTGGGTGTGGTGGCACATGTTTGTAATCCCAGTGGCTTGGGAGGCAGAGGCAGGAGGACCACAAGCTCAAAGCCAGCTTCAGCAACTTGGTGAGGCCTCAAGCRACTCAGTGAGACCCTGTCTCTAAATGTCTCAATGGTTGTGTGCCCCTGGATTCAATCCCCATACTAAACATACATAAATAAATAAATTTACATTTTTAGACAGGTCTAAGTTGCTGAGGTTGGCCTCAAGAACCTGTGATCCTCCTGCTTCAGCCTTCCAAGTAGCTGAGTTTGCAGACATGTGCCACTGGATTCAGAAAATTTTTTAAAAATAAGGATTAAAACAGAAGGAACTTCATTATTATGCCAACTGAAAATGGCCTGTTTGGGAAATTTGTTACTTCTTTCTCCTGCTTTCTCAGGTCAGATAATTTCAGTTTGGTGGCATGGAACTTTAATATGCATGATCTCATTTTGATTTTAGTCAGGTATGTTGGTGAAACCAGAGTTTTTTTTTTTTTTTTTTTTTTTAGAGAGAGTGAGAGAGGAGAGAGAGAGAGAGAGAGAATTTTTAATATTTATTTTTTAGTTCTCGGCGGACACAACATCTTTGTTGGTATGTGGTGCTGAGGATCGAACCCGGGCCGCACACATGCCAGGCGAGCGCGCTACCGCTTGAGCCACATCCCCAGCCCGAAACCAGAGTTTTGATATGAAATTGGATTCTCTGTTCCGCTGGCAGTTGGGGCATGCACAGCTGCAGCTCTTAATGGTGGACCATGCCCTCCAGTACTGCAGCTGACCCCAGCAGCTCACCATCAACTTCTTTCTGGGTTCTTGTCTGGTGAATTTGGAGAATGAAATCCCTACCCCAGGATAAGTGAGTTTAAGAATAGGGTTTATTAAGATTAGAAATAGGTAAGTACATGTAGGAAGACACGAATGATGTGAAAATACTTTGTATACAATCAGTGACTTGAAAAATTGTGCTCTATATGTGTAATATGAAACGAATTGCATTTTGCCACCATGTATAACAAATTAGAGTAAAATAATTGAATAAAAAACAACTTTGAAAAGTTAAAAAAAATTAGAAACAGGAACTCAACTCTTGTAATGCAAGAGGGCACCGAATAGCAGGTGTTCTCCATCCAAGTGTAGAGTCTAGGGGTTTACCTAGCACTTGCTTCACTGCTGTKGGTCCAAATTTATGCTAATGAAGGTTTGGAAATGTACCAACGCTATTAGTCAATTCTTGAGTCTCAACTTTCACTCAAGTCTGCTTTACCTCAATTTGAGGGGAGACGGGTCAGAAATTGGGAGGTTAAGGTCATCAGATGCTTCTGCGGTGGGCATCGCGGCGAGTACCCAGGCAGGGCGCCTGGATGACGGGTTGCCCTCTGTGCACACCATGCCTGCTGGGAGTCCCACGTGGCGGCTGGCCAGTGCGGGCCACTACGTGGCCATCACTTTGCTGCCGCTCCTTGGTAGGGACCACTACGCCAGCTTCCCGTCCAAGAGCTTCACTAGCAGGCAGACAAGGGCCAAAGCCACCACTCGTGGGTTCTACTCAACATCCTGCTGCAAGGTGACAGGGCAACAACCCCAGTGAGGCAGCAGCACCACTGCCCTTTCTCACTGCTAGAAACCGGCCACTGCAGCTCCGCAGGGTGCCACCCGGGTGGGTCTGCTAGACGCGGCGGCAGACAGCCCTCCGTGCCTGCTTTCCCAATACCTATCGGCGAGGAGGCGTGGGCGTAAGCTCTCCGTTATCCCTGGGATGGTCCCTTCCCCGCCCCTGCCACGCACTGGGGACCCACTAGGACACGCGAACGCGGGTGCAGCCCCGGAGGTGAGGAGGGGACGGGCAAGGTGTGGCCGGACGCCGTCACGACCCCAAGGAGAGCCCTACCTGGACCACGGAGCTCTCCGTGCGGGACAGCGGGGTCCTAACGGACCTCAGGTGAGGACGAGCACCGAGCCCCACCCCGAGTGGAGCGGGGAAGGCCGGCTCCGCGGGGCGGTCTCCGCCCACGGTCGCCAACCACCGCTCCGGCGCGGCACCGCCCCCTGGTCCTTCACCCGCCCTGCCCGTCGCTCGGGACCTTCGCTCGGTTCCGCCGCAGCCTCGCGCCGGCCGGCGCCGAGACACAGACTGCGGTCAGAGGCACCCGGGAAGCCCGCGCCGCGCCCGTCCCAGCCGGGGCGTCGCCGGAAGTGACGCGCGTGCGTGGCGTGTGCGCCGGGAGGRCGGGGCTGGCGGGCGGGGGCGGGGCGTGCGCGGGCCGAGCGCACCTCCGGGAGCGGCGCGGGCGGCGGCGGTGCGGACGGCGGCGGCCTCTGAGCAGGTAGGAGCGGGTCGCGGCCGTCGGTTCGCGCCGCGGGTGGGTCGCCCGGGCCGGGCCGTGGGTTCCGTCCCGGGCCGGGCCGTGGGTTCCGTCCCGCCGCTCGGGGCTCGGCCGGGGCGCCGCTGCCGGGTCGAGGCGGGCCCGGGCCTCGCCGCCTCCGGAGCGCTGCCCGGCGCCGGCGCCGGCGACCGAGGCCCGAGCGGCGGGACTGCGGAGGGGGCGCGCGGCGCCCGGGCGGGCTGCGTCCACCGGCCTCCGTCCATCTGCCTCCGCTGGCCCCCGCCGGTCCCCCGGGGCCGCTCGGAGTCCCTCCCGGAGTCGCGGAGCCGCCCAAGTTTGCGGGCAGCGGCTGGTCCCGCGCCGCCCTGCCTGACGCCGCCGCGGCGCCGGGCGACCGTGTGGCTGCCCCGGGGACCGGCGTTGGCAGGCCTGGGCAAGCTCTSGGTCGGCCGGTCCCCCGTGCGGGTGTCGCCAGCTCCTCTCCAAGTTCCGCAAACAGGGACGGGCCTCGCCGCCCTCCCCGCTCTCTGAGCCCGGTCCTCGCTGGGCTTCGTAAGGGTCCGTAGAGCGCGGCCGACTAGGGGGCGGGACGCCGCCGCGTCCGGGGCAGTGTTCAGTGGGAAAAGTGGGAGTGAGGGAGAGAGAGAGGGGAATGGAGAGAGGGACAGAGAGGGAGAGAGGGATAGAGAGAGGGACTGAGAGAGAGGGACAGAGGGAGAGGGAGAGAGA